AGTAGTGGCTGAAGTCTGTGTTTAACGTTGTTATCCATAAACAATTCTAAAGACAAAGTACAGAGTAGTTCCTAGATGTCAGAGAGACGTGCAGTTCTGCTTATACTGCTTTGCAACTTTGTTGGGCAACTTATCGCAATCTGTATACGAGTATTTTGAGAAATACAAATTTATGGTGAAACAAGTATGAATGCATGTCACACATCAATGTAGATTCAGCCACTGAGACATTATTTGAGCTGCAATGCAGACGCAGCAAAATTAGAGAGACAACGCTGAAGTTTCCTTCAGTGTTTTCAGTAACCCACCTGCCCGTCTCACCTGAGGTGAAAAAGGCCTTCTTCAAGGTTGGGCAAAATAAACGCCATGATACAGGAGAGAAATCACATGATGCTGACACAATCAATTATAAACCACGTAATTTTCAGCGCATCTTTTTTTGTTAATTAAAAAAGAAAAAAAGAACAACAACACAAAATAAACAACACAAGCATTGGCTTCTTTCCTCCACTAACTAATCTCTGGAGATTGTGAAAGCCTCCACCATTATTAAGGCTGTGGTGTTGTTTCAAAATAATCTATGCCTGCATTTTTCATAATGAACACATATGTCATCCGGTGCTACATTATAGTTTAGTGGAGCCTTTATAATTGTCTTTGGACAACAGCAGAGATACAGATAAATAAAAATGGTTGTGTCAATACAACCATGGGATTACTGGACAATTAAAATGAAAGACAAGCTATTTAAAAATAATTTAAGCATCACAGTAAACTCCAGAAAATAGACTTTAATAAAAACTGGTTAATTTATTGCACGCTGTTTACTTCAAATCAAAATCAGGAGTTGCAGGAGTTGTCTACATTACCCCGAGGATATCATGCTAACACATAGGTACTAAAGGTTGTGTGTGTCATCCTAATATTGTTTTGTGGGGCTTTAACAAAGATGGTATGGACATAACTCTATAAACGTATAAGTTACACCAAGGTTTTTAAGTCCTGGATTGATGCTAACGTTAAAAAATCACAGTTATCTCTAAATCCACAGATAAAGCTGTCTCGACTAGATGACAGCTCTGTGGGATCCTGGTTTCAATCATAATGTTGTTAATGTTAATCAAATTGTTTCTTTAGTTAAAAAAACAGCTGTTTGAAAGGACTTTTTTAAGAGACACTGTATAAAACCAGGGTCGGTCTGCAGAGCAATCATTCTATTATCATCCCCCAGCAGCAAAACAAGAATGCATCTGCAGTGAAATATAGATATAAAAAAGCCTTTCAAGCCCTTTTTTGTTTTAACTAGCTCCACACATGCTCAAAATAACAGCACTGTGCTTCATAGTGAAATTTTCATTACTTATTATTATGTGGAATTAGCGGTTGTAATAAAACTGTTTAGTACAGCAGATGACGTTTTGCAAGAGAAACACAAAGCTTACCATCATCTTCTCAAAGAGGTCAATGATTTCTTTTTCTGAGAGGTTCATGGACCGCTCATCAAAAAGGGGCTGAGGAACAGGAAGTTCAGTTTGGGTGGACAGGGGATCTGTTGGGTGCTGTATCAGGAGCTTCTCCTTCTTCGTCCCCGTTTTCCTAAAACTGGTGATACGATCACGCTGAAAGAAAACAGATTCATTGACATGTTAAAATATCGCACTGCCAATGAGCTTGTTTTGACTATAAAGTATATGGATCATTAAGGAAAAAAAATTGTTTTTAAAACAACTAGATTGAAAGTTTGTCTCCTGCTATCAAAAGACAGCACGATTATTATGCACTGATTTCAGGAACAGATGTGTTTCTGCAAACAAATGAAAGTGAGGTTAAAACAGAAAAAAAACTATAGATTTTTTTCTTTCATTTTTACTTTGTATTGAAGAAAATAATTACAAAAAATATCTGCCGCATACAGCAAACACCTGTATTTTGTAGATTTTTGACTTAAAAAACAAACAAACAACTAAATAATATACTCACCATCAAACCCACAGGATTGCTCAGTTTATGCTCAAGTGATTCTAGCACACAATGCCACTTTTTAAGTTTGCAGGGTAGGGTACTAAGAGACATTCCTTTTTATATTAATTGGTTAATCCTACTCTTATGAATGCAGTAACATTAAGTGTAAAAGCAGAAAAGTATATGAACTGCATGCAACCAGTCACTGTTAGTATTATCAAAGGGAGAGAACATGCTGGATGAATGAACAGATATAAATGAAATTAACAGACAGACATATAATGATGACATGCACGATGTCGAAAATGTCAGTTTACTGAAGTATTACCGGATGGATCAAACATACTGAAAGCTGATTATTGCAGCAGTAGCACGTAATAATAATATGTTGGCTGTACATCCCAAAACTCATGTAATACTACATGCGTCGGGCTATTTGTTAACTAAGGATATTAAAAAGGCCCCAGGTAAAACCATCTAATCAGAAGTGCTACTAATAATTGCACACTAAATGATCTATGACCTGCTTACAAAAGCAGAGATGCTGAGGGCTAAGTTATGTTCGTAATGAAAAATTTAGGCAAACAGACCTTGTTGGTGCAGAGTGCACTACAATAAAACATGTCTTTCACAGCTTTAGAGAGCGCTGCTGCGGACAGACTTATCATTATTTGCTAATGTGTAGAAACCCACTGCATCATTTTACCACATGATGCAACTCATATACAGTTAAAATTTAAACAATTTGCTTCTGGCACATTTGATCCATCCAGATACTTCAGGTAAAAGTCCCATGCAGCTATAAGAAAACGTGAGAGGATGTAAAACAAAACTAATCACACCAAAATTAAACCAAGCACCTTACCATATCATCAGCCAATGTTTTTATGTGTATGTTCTGTTGGAGGGAGGGCACAGTGTGAAAAACAATCCAACAGAAAACGACAACACTGGCAAGTGCACGTCCCGTCTCAAGTGTTTCCACATGTACAGCGTCCCCTGGATACCGCAGCGTTTTCTTCTCTCTTTGGTATCACAGAGTAGAAAATGCTGTTGCATTTCCCTCTGAGATACCAAATTACATTTTTAATAATGCTTGCATACATTAGAGAATACATAAAACACATGTGCAAATTGTCTTGGTACCACAGAGGGCAATAGCTCATTCCTGTCTTGAGCAAATCCCAAATTCTGTACATGTGCATATGCAGGATATGGTAACACTTGATGATCCCAGACAACGGGGGAAAAGTAAAAACGTTTGTGTTCAAGAATGAACACGACAAATACAAGCACACAAAATGAGGTCCGTCAGAAAGCACCCATAAGCAAACACATCAGTTTAAAGAAAACCCAGAAAAACCCAATAACATGCACGTTAGCACTGCTAGGTTAAAGTTTGTGTATTCCCAAAATAATACATTTTCCCAGGGAATGTTGTTACAGCATGACACAATTAAACACCAAAAGCTTCTTTTATTCCTGTAATTTGTGTTCTGAAGAGCATCCTTTGCAGTGACAGTGGCCCAAAAACAATTCAACCACTTCTCCTAATCCAGATATTTATCTCCATCTCAGACGCACTAAGAATGGCTACTGCCAAAGGCTTGTGGCTCGGCAAGGGACAGCCATTTGAAACACACCTCAAATGGGAATCAGTAGCAGCGCTGCCATATGCTGTGGCGCTCGGCTGTAAAGTACTAATGAGTGGGGAGATGTGGGGTAGCGATGGCCATAAAGCCTGCCTCCAGCCGCGGATTTCTCCACTATTCTAATCAGGAAACTACTGATGCTGCGGCGAGCAAACAGATTGGCGCTAACCTGCACCTCCCTCTGTGTATCTTCATCGGCTGTCGCTCTGGGCAACACCGAGCAGACACTCGAACTGCCATATCCATCACTAGTTTTGTCGGCTACAACTGATCAACAGTTGGGAGATAAAGCTATTGACTAGGAAGAACAAAGCGTCAGTCTCGATGTGCAGCGTTACCTAAGCTGTTAAAATAACACAGGCAGCGTTACATACAGAGGGTTCTTGTCCAGGTATCTGTTTCGGTATTGTGAAAGCCTTTATTGCTTTTAAAAAGGCAGCATGACACTTCCCAACATGTGTAACGCTAATAATTTAACCCGAGCAACAACTTTTCTCATTTGTAACTCAGTACGTATGTATCATTAAGCCCAGCATTCTCTAGCAGCCTAAAACTGTGTGAAACAATAGCTAATTTTCAAATGGAGTACTTAAACATTTTCTAATCAATTTAACAACAATCAAACCACTGTTTGGTTAATTGCCTTGACTTGAGGGCCTTTCCTTGCCCATTATCTTGGCAACATCGCAACATTGCAATTTAACATCTAACAATTAAGCTTGCATGTCCTCTGGGCTTCTCCCGCTTATTAAAGTAAACTTTTTCATCATAATAAATGTTTATTACCAAACACATATTTCTCTAAATAACCTAATCAAATTAGCTCTGGGTCCCTCCTTAATCAAATATGATTATGAGTCCATGCAGATCCTTAAAAATGAAAACACAAAGCAATATCCCACAACTTGAGAACCAATTTGGGGACACAAAACCATACAAGTATGCATATTTCCTACAATAAATGTTAAAATTAATATTACAAACTACAATTAATGTTAGTGTTACATTAATTTGTGTAAAGATATCAAATATCACCAGGTGGAAGAAGAAATACGTTTCTTTTCCAGGCTGGACAAAAGACTAGTTTTGTTTCAAAGTGACTATAATTGCATATCTTTTAAATAGCAACGCTTGTTATTCTCAACCAATTAAACAAGACCATCTGCGTGATGTCATTTTAACTCACTCACTGGAACTATCACTATAAAATCAGTAGCCACGATGCCACTGTAAAATGGGTTTAGAAGGAAATTAGCTTTTACTTTAATTAGTTCTAATAATAAAAAAGAATTACTGTGAGATAGCCATTGTTGGCAGTAAGGCCTGTAACACAAAGTGCTTCTGACAGTTCTTGGCAAATTCATTAAACTACCTCGTGTCCCTGTTTAATCAGACGCTCGGTTCATCTACATTCTAGCAGATTTTAGCAACGATTCCTGATTTTCAGCAAGCAAAATTTAAATTTGGGGGAAATAAAATCAAAGCTGATGAAAAAGACTTTAAAAAAAACTGTGAAAATTGTATAATTAACCTTGAATGCTGCAAGTAGCATCAGTAGCACTGCAAAAAAAACCAAACCTTGTGTTTTATTAGGCGCTCATTTGTTTAACTTCTGTTGCTTATTCAGAGAATTAAAATGAACAAAGTCATTGTCAACAGAAAAATATTTTTTTGGTCAAAAAGAAAATATTTTATCTCTTTATTAATATAGAGTTGTTGTTCTTTTACAATATAAAGCACATTGAGGCAACTGTTGTGGTTTCACATTATGTAAATAAAATTAAATTTACATGAGTTATCAGCTCGCTCCTATACTGGAGTATTGACAAGCAAGAAAAATTGCATTACTTAAAATACAAACTTATCTTAATTTTGTGTCCAAGTAAGAAACGAATTATTGTGAACGCATCATCATCAAAACACAGCAGCTTAACAGCCTCAGTCAGTGATGACCTCAATTCAGTAAAGCATTCAGAAACCTGTACGTCAACATAGCACACCCGTCTGCAGATCATACACAGATCGCCACGGTTACATGTCTGTGGTCATTGTCGAACCACAGTTAAAAACACGAGGAGAATATTGACCTGTTCTAAATGTCAGTATAAAGGCCGTTCAAATTTGGTCTGCTGCTCCTCAACATTTCAAAAGAGTACACGAGAGCTCCCACTCGACAACCATTCATCTAGAGATACTGTGTGGATTATGCTAAAAAGCTGCTTTCCTCCGAATAAAACAAAGCACCGCAAAACTGTCACACTACATCAGAGGGTAACGCTTGCTCGTCGTTGTTATATCAAACAACAAAATTACATAATTTGTCTTTGTGTAATCTGATAAGATCTGCTGCACTACCAATGTACTGATCAATTTGAAAGGAGTGGCATCAGACACAGAATACGGTCCGTGTAACTGAATTAGACCAAGTCAAAACAAATTAATTCATCTAAATAAATCCTGTTACAATGGCTTCTCAATCACTGCTTTTGTAAACACAGAGGTAATGCAAGACACTGCCTAAGCTACTGCAAAAGATTTCTCAGTGCGCACGTATTCTGCTTGTATCTATCAAGGTTTTCCATATGTTTGCACAGGGAGGATAACATTTTCAAGCAAAGCACGGAGGTGGAGAAAAGAGGCAAAAAAGACACACCGAGACACAATTTAAACCTGTGACTTATATTTCAATTAGAACACATTTACTATCATGCTGAATGTAGCTGTCACATAGAAATACAAGTCCCCTCATCGTGCTTTTCCACTTACAATATTCCAATAATTCTTTCTGAATCGTTAAATGACAATAAACATCTGCTCTATAGCCTTGAGTGTGATTATTATTTAAACGACATATTTTCTATCTTACCGGTTCCGACACTTCCCTGAGAGATTTTTGAAATCTCTGAACATCTTTGGAGATTAATATCTACAGCAGGTCTATTAACATCAGTCAGTTTTACACAGCTGAGGAGCTTATTGAGAGATGTATTGAAGGAATTCAGAGAATTGCTACTTTGATAAAAAGTAGCAATTTGAAGATGTCACTAAGGGAAACTGAATTTGAAATAGTCTAATTTTTACAGACTAACAATATCATAACTAACAAAAAGATTAATAAAAAATAGCTTGACAAGACAAATAAAAAAGATTTCACTGCCACAAAGCATGTCTATCTGAGCAAATTTACAAGTGGCTCAGTGTGAGAAGTGAATCAGTGTTTTATTTTCAGTCAGACTGAGAGAGAGCCGCATATGAAGTGGTACATCGTCACAGCAGAAATACCTATATTAAAACACTTGTCAAATCTGTGCCCTACATGCTTCTAAAGCATGTAGGGCACATAGTGTCATTACTGTAGGCACTGCCACAAGCATACACACACGGAAAGACAAAAACACACACAACGAAAGACAGCCTTTTATACATACCAGAAAAATATATTAAAGGCATAGAGCAGAATGACATAAAGTGAAGTAACGATTCAATCGAGCTCAAAAAATAAGGTTGCTCTCCTAAAAAAGAACCGACATAAACACGTCTCCCTCGGTGTTTCATATTGACGTAGGTTACTTTGCTTTATTTTATTTAGGTTTGAAAAAAATGCAGTTAATTTAAAAATGGAGCACGTTTCTGTGAGAGACTCTAAAAGTGTGTGAGTTTGTGGTAGCCTTATTAGTCTCATGAAAGTGCTGGTACTGCTTAGTTTCCCAAAACAGATACTGAAAAGAGGAAGCACACAAAAGCTAGTACAGCTAAGATTTGAATGGCTGCACAATGGATGGTCTGACCATGTGACTGGGGACTAGCACAGTACTGCCCTCGGGTTATCGCCATCTCTTTTGAAACCAAATTCTTACTGTATCCTTGAAGGTGGCAAGATATGTGGTCATTATAAAAGCTGAGGTTTGTAAGAAAAGAAGGAGATATTTTCACACTCTTCATAACATCACATAAAGTGTCATTTGTATTTTAAAGTCTGCTGAAATTAACCTGACCTGGCAAACATTTTTTTCCAACTGCGAGAGGAATTTTACAGCAGACGCTTTCCTCTGAAATTCGGCTTAAAACATGCCGTGTTCACACCTGCTATAGCAGTTGTTTTCCCTAATTGCTGACAAGTGCAAAAACATGTGAACCATGACCTTGTTTTTATCTGCAGGCTGTTGACTAAGTGGTGTGTAATGAAACTGTACGTAACACCAGAGCCAGGCAGCAAAATGTTTAAAATAATAGTCCAGGTGCGCCC